CTTAAGAATTCGACGCCCTTATTCCTTAACCTGCCATGTCTAAACACCCACCTTTTTTTTTTAATAATAAGTAGAGGTGGGAATGAAAGGTTCAGGCATTATGCTGGCCTGCCCCTGTTACCTGGTGGAATCCACTCAGGCAATACCCTGGTCAGCCCAAGGTTCCATGGGAAAGAAGTCTGCACGCAGGTGCAGAGGACCCCTTTAAAAGATAGGCCCCTGCACCTTTACGCTCTCTCTGCCCCTTTACTCTCTCTCTCTCTCTCTCTCTCTCTCTCTCTCTCTCTCTCCCCGTCTCTCCCTGTCTCTCTCTCTCCCCCTGTCTCTCTCTTTCTGTGTGTGCTCTCCCGTCTCTGTTTCCCTGCTCTGTATCTCTATGGCGACCGGCCATGGCGGTCAGCCATTTACCCCTGTTCCTCTTCTTAGTCTCCCCATTCTGCCTTATAATAAACTTATAGTCTTATGTATGTCTCAGCAATTTCTCTTTTCTTCTTTTTAAACAAAACAATAACAGCCAGGGCTACACAGAGAAACCCTGTCTTAAAAAAACAAAACAGGGCTGGAAAGATGGCTCAGAGGTTAAGAGCACTGACTGGAGGTCCTGAGTTCAATTCCCAATAACCACATGGTGGCTCACAACCATCCGTTATGAGATCTGGTGCCCTCTTCTGGTGTGCAGATATACATGGAGCAGAATGTTGTATACATAATAAAATAAATAAACAAATAAACAAATAAATAAATAAATAAATAAAATCTTCAAAAACAAAAACAAAACAAATTTGTGTGTATGTGTTGCATCTAAGCAATGACTGTGCAAGAATGTGCCTCAGAAGACCAGAGGGTCTCATACCATGGAACAGAGTTCCATGTAGTTGTGAGCAGCCTGGCATGGGCGCTGGAAACTGAGCAAGGATTCTTTAGAAGAGCAGCAAGTGACCTCAAACACACACACACACACACACACACACACACTCACAAACTTGACATGTAGCCAAGGCCTGGAACTTGTATTATATTCTAGCCCCACACTTCCCAAGTGCTGAGATTACAGGCATTTGCCACGGAGCCTGGCTCTCACTATCTTTAGCATAATTCTCTTCTTCATGGGAAATTCTCCTCCTCCATACTAGGTATGGTGGTCTATTCCTGTAATCCCAGTACCCAGGACGCAGACAGGAGGCTAATCAAGAGATGAATTACAACCAGGGCCTTTGTAGCAAGTTTCAGGCCCATCTGGGGTACATAGTGAGACCATGTTTCAAACAAACCCTATAAGACCCCCACTTCCCCCTCCTATCCCTGCTTGAAATTCCAGATTTACATCTAAAGCATTGAAGAATGTATGGGCAATTAAGTTACTCAGAGATCATGCTAAATCAGTCCTCAGAGGAAATATGTTGCAGTGTGGCAGGCGGGCGGGGAAAGGGTCAGGTCAACCATGAGCCTGTCTGGTAGCAAAGGTTTCTGTGTACTCTGATTGAATATTTTACCTACAAACTCCTGTGTCAGACACAGGCAACAGAGCCGGGTGTTGGTGGCGCACGCCTTTACTCCCCGCCCTCAGGAGGCAGAGGCAGGGGGATCTCCGAGTTTGAGGCCAGCCTGGTCTACAGAGAGAGAGTTCCAGAACAGCCCCAAAGCTACAGAGAAACCCTGTTTTGAAAAACAAACAAACCAAAAACCAGCACAAGCAACCGGAATTCACAAGTACAAGGCAACTGGTTCACTAACAATTCTAACCGGATGGGAAAGAGCATTGACCACATGAACTCATCCACCTCTCATGTGTACCCGTGGAAGCTTCAAAAAGGTCAGTTAGTTTGACCTCAAGAATGAGAGTAAATGCTGGCGAGAGTGACTAGAATACAGGGTAGAGGTAGTAGAAAAGGATTAACAAGGAAAATTGGAGCTGTGAACCTGAAAATTAAAACTAAGGTGAATGGAGATGCCATGATTGGTTTTAATTGTCAACTTGACACAGTCTAGAATTATATCTGAGACTGTCCATGAGGGGTTATCTTAATAACATCCATTGATGTGGAGAACTGCCCCCTACACTGTGAGCAGCACTGTTCCAGGTTTGAGATCACAGACTAAATAAGGAGAAAGCTAGGAAGCACAGCCATGCATGCCTGACTTCATTGCTCTTTGCTCTTAATTGAAGATATAATGTGACTAGGTTCCTGTTGCCTTGACTTCCTAGGATGGTGTGACCTGGAACTGTGAGCCAAATAGTCCCTTTTTCCCTTAAGTGACTTCTCATCAAATATTTTGACACAGCAACAATAAGGACCCTAAACACCTCACTACAAGATCACATCACTACATAAGTGGCCAAGCTTTCCCTGTAATAGGGAAGCATCCTCTTAGTTTCTACTCAAGAGTTTTTGTTTTGTTTTTGTTTTTCGAGACAGAGTTTCTCTGTGTAGCTTTGGAGCCTATCCTGGCACTCGCTCTGGAGACCAGGCTGGCCTCGAACTCACAGAGATCCACCTGCCTCTGCCTCCCAAGTGCTGGGATTAAAGGCTTGCGCCACCAATGCCCGGCTTCTACTCAAGACTTTTAAAAATAATTCTATTTTATGAACGTTGGTGTTTTGCCTGCATGTATGTCTATGCAATAGTGTTAGATCCCCTGGAACAAGAGCTACGGATATTCATGAACTGCCACATGGGTGTTGGGAATTGAACTTGGGTCCTCTGGAAGAGCATCCAGTGCTCTTAAACACTGAGCCACTTCTCCAGCCCCACTTAAGCCCTTTTTAAGAAGTGGAGTGACATGCCCAGATCTCTGTGTCAGGACGGCATGTGGTTAGAGTGAACAGCTAATTTGGAGAAAGAGACTAGAGGCAGAGACCATTTTGAAGGTAGATGGAATGCTCCTGATAAAGACCCCAATAGCCAGAATTAGATTGGTGCAAAAGAGGGAGGAGGGGTGGCTAAGAGATTTCAGGATGGAGATAAGAGGCATTATTGAATAATTGAATATGGAGTGATGAGCAACAAGCTTCAATCCAAGGCTCCTATCCTGAGATGCTACACTGCCAGTAATGCTATTACCTAGAAAATGTGGCAGGAAGATGTCTGGATGTTCTGAGCCTGCAGTGTCTATGCAAAGTACAGGTGGTAACAATATGCCATTGTCAGGCCAAATGAATAGCAGTTATGTGAATCACTGTTTTTAGAGAAAGGGTTTCTCTGAGTAACAGCTCAGGCTGTCCTGGAACTCACTCTGTACACCAGGCTGGCTTCAAACTCAGAGATCACCTGCCTCTGCCTCCTAGGACTAAGGTTAAAGGTGTGTACCACTGCACCTGGCTAATTTTTTGTTTGTTTGCTGTTGAATAGGGTCTCACGTAGCAAAGGATGGCCTCCATCTAATTTTTTTTTTTTTTTTGATTTTTCGAGACAGGGTTTCTCTGTGTAGCTTTGGAGCCTATCCTGGCACTCGCTCTGGAGACCAAGCTGGCCTCAAACTCACAGAGATCCCCCTGCCTCTGCCCCCTGAGTGCTGGGATTAAAGGCGTGTGCCACCAACGCCTGGCTGAGAACATTTTTATTTATCATTTTTAATGTGTATGGGTGTTTTGCCTGTATGTAAGTCTGTGCATGACTTGTGTGCCTGGTCCCCTGAGGTCAGAAGAGGGTTTCAGATGCCCTGGAACTGGAGTTACATTAAGTTGTGAACCTCCCTGTAGGGGCTGGGAATCAAACGTAAGTCTTTTGCAAAGAGCAGCCAGTGCTCTAAACTGCTGACTATCTCTTCAGCCAATTGGCCTCCAATTCTTCATTGATTTTACTGCCTCAGCCCCACAGCAGCTGGAATTACAGTGGGCATGAGCCACCATGCCCTGCTTGAATAGCTCTGTGTGTGTGTGCGCGCGCATCTTTGTATGTGTATAGCTCTGTGTGTGTGCGAGAGCGTCTTTGTATGTGTATTTCTGTGTTTGTGTAGTGCATGTGTGTGTTATGCACATCCATACCTGCATGTGAAAGTTACAAGTTGGTTGGTACTGAGTATCGTCCTCAATTGTCTTATTTTTCAGAAAAGCATTTATTACATGCTTTTATATTGTACGTTATGTGCGTATGTGGTTGCATGCCCACCACAGCAAGTGAGTGAAAGTGAGAGAGCGTCTACCATGTGGGTCAAATGCCTGTATCTGCTGAGCTTCTGTCTTGTGAGCCCTCCACCTTTTCATTTGACACATGTTTTCTCACTGAACCTGTGCTCACCAGTTTGGCTAGAGTGACTGGCCAGCGAGCCCAAGGGATTCCTCTGCCTGTCTCCCCAGCTTGGGACTGTAGTCTGGCTTTTATAGATATTTGGGGAATCCAAATTCAGACCTTTATGTCAGTACTTTACTACCAATAGTTCATTTTAGAGAAGTCATTCTGAGGAGGGGTGTCTCTCGTGTTGTTTAATTCTTTTTTTTTTTTTTGTAGACTGCAGATGGAGCCTCACACTTAACTGAGTATCCTACCACTGCGTTGTGCTCCTAGCTTTTGATGTGATGTTAAATTAACTTGTAATGCATCCATAGTTTGTGGTTAAGTCTCTACTCTGTGTGTGTGTATTATTCAAGAGTATGAGTGCATCTGTACTGACAACATAAAATGAGGATAATACGAGCTACGACACTGGGCAGTTGTTATCTCTAGTACTACTGAATGAATAGTGTTTGTCATGGCCTGTCGGCTGCAGTTAACAGGCCTCAGTATCCAGTGTGCAGGAGACACACTCACCTGAGCAGCTTCTGTCCCCACTTACAGCGGCATCTGTTGAGGATCCCTGTGGGGTGTGCACAGGAGTGAACTCGTTACAAGGAGGCCTAGATACAGGGCACAAAGGCAGCCAAAATCAGGGCCTGGCCACAGTTGGGGCCTGGGTTTTTATGTGAGGCTGGGGAAAGGGATGGACACTCGGCCAAGAAAATTTATGAGTGGACATAGTCACAACTCACAGAAACCCAACACAACTGTAAAACTTATGCATATACCCTAAAGCCAGAGGATCCAAAGTATAAAATCAGTTACATAACTCTCCTCAGTGAGCAGACAGATACTAGATGCCCAATTAGTGGGCACCCTGGGACAGAGCCAGAGACTGAACATAGTATTGAAGGTCACAGCTGGCATGCACATTGTACTGCATGGCTAGCTATACAGCACGAGCTGAGAGAGGGCACAGAGACTGAGAAGCCTGGCCTGCTGTGGAAAAGGCACCTGGCATTGACAGTAAGGCAAGAAGAGAGACTGCACACATCTGTAGTCAGCTGCGTTTCTAGCTGGGTTTCAGGGTGGGGTGACCAGCAGTTCACACCTACCAAAGAGGCTGAGCCCCTCCTTTAGCCCGCTGGCTACTTTGTAGACTGAGGGGTGAGCCTCACTCTTGAAGATCTGAAGAACGCTGTCACAGAGAAATGAAGACGTCTGGATGACCTTCTGTACAACCTACACATAGCATATGCATGTGTGTACATATGTATTTCTGTTTTTGAGACAGGGTTTCTCTATGTAGCCCTGGATGTCCTAGAACTCATGGTGTAAACTGGGCTGGCCTTGAATTTATAGAAATCCCCCTGCCTCTGCCTTCCAGGGCTGGGACTGAAGATGAGCCACCACACCTGCCTGTGCACACATGTTTTGCTGCAGGTGCGCATGCTCCCATGCACATGTGAGAAGCCAGAGGACATGGAAGTGGCTGTCTTCTGTCTCTCTGTCTTGTTCTATTTCAAGACAGGGTCTCTCATTGAACCCAGAGTTCCACATTTTCTTTGGCTAAGATGGCAGCCAGAGATGCCAAGCACTTACATAAAACTCAGATCCAAACTCAGATCCTCAAAGTTGAGTAACAAGAGCTTTTGCTCACTGAGCCCTGTTCCTACTTTAACCTTAATTTTTTAAAATAACAACAATAAAAGGAGTGGGGAACTGAGACAGGTTTTCTCTTGTACTGTGTATAGCCCTGTCTGTCCTGGAACTCACTATGTAGACCAGGCTGGCCCTGAACTCCCAGAGATCCACCTGTCTCTGCCTCCCCAGTGCTGGGATTAAAGGCATGCGCCTCCACCCCTGGCAATAATAATCTTGATGTGAGGGTTATTACTCACTTTTGGATTTGCCTCAGCTTCTCCCCTTAGGAAAAGGAAATGAAAGTCAGCCTGGTTTATATAGTAAGTTCCAGAACAGTGGGGCTATGTAGAGAGACCCAGTCTCAAAATACAAACACACACACACACACACAAAAAAAAAAAAAACAGGAAAGAAAGGAAACCAGCAGACTAGAGTTGTCACTTCAGGAGGCAGAATGCTTGCCTGGCAGGCACCAGCCCCTGGGGTCCATCCCCAACATTGCAAAAAGGAAAGGAAAGGGAGGTGATGCCTTTGTAGTCCCCCCCCCCAATCACGCTTTCCTTCCCTTCAAGGAGAGAGATCTTAGCAGCCCCAGGATTAGAGAGACTAGGCCTCATTAGGATTATTAGAGCATTAGGCTCAACCCGTGTGTTTCTGGAGGAGGCAGAGCAGTCTATCTGCACCTCACCTGTAAGTGTCTTGATCTATGCTCACCAGATGGGTCCTAAGAACAGAAAACAAGCCAAAGGGAAGGTGGCTGGGGAATGGCGGCTCACTACAAGCTCCACTGCCTTGATTCCTGTCTCAGTACTGTTTGATCTTCCCAGAGCAATACAATCCCCTGGTTCTCCCTCGTCCCAGCACACGTGTCCACTGTCCCCATCCCTCTCCCGTGTCCCAGCACGCGTGTCCAATCTCCTGGCTTACTCCTGAGACCTCCCAGTCCCTTTACATCACCTACAATACAAATTTCTTAAACCCCAGGATCGGGACGCTGACATTATAATCCTCCAGTTCCACCCCAACTCTTCTTCGACTCAGGAACTTGAGCAGTCCTCCAAGTGCCCGGACCTGGAAGGGGTCAGCAGTGGAGTTGGAATAAAGCCTAGGGTTCCAGAAGCTGGACAACACCAATATCAACAAAGACTGTCATTTTCCAGGGCTGGGGCAGTCCAGCCCAACTCAGCCTGGGACTGGGACTGTGAGCTCAGCCTTCCCCAGCCCAAACCCCAGTGACCTGGCTCACCGTGAGGACACAGTCAAAGGGAATAATGGAGGAGAGGAAAAGGATTTTCTCAGTGGCAGTCATGGACTCTGGGATGAATGAGTAGTTTCCAGAAAGGAGACGCTGCTTGCTTGTCTCTGGACCTATTTTGGGGAATAAGGAGAGGAAAAAAGTCTTATAAATCAACTTTCTTACCCCAACACAACAAGAGCAAAAGCAACCCAAGTCCACAGAGCTGGTTAAGGAAAGCTAACGCAAGAACCCACAGGTGCACACTGAGTCTGATTCTCTTCTTTGTGTAATATAGATGTCCGGCTATAAGCACAACCTGGGAAAGACAAATGATGTCTGGGATTGTAGATTTTCTAGATCAAAAAGATCTTATGATAAAAGAAAGAGTAGTCCTAATGTCCAGATATCTAATGAGGACAGAACATCCCCTGTCCTTTTTGTAAACCTGGGAGTTTGCCAAGTAGGAAGTGTCTTATGGATCATCTGGATCCCAGAAACAGTGCCCTTCCTTTTGATGCAATAAAACACTTTGGCTTAAAGGGGAACTCCAACATTCAAAGCTGTTTGAGAGGCATCATCACTCCATTTTCTCAGCAGGGGTGGGGGCATCCTAAGGTAACTAACCCAATGGCTTCTCAATTAGTTAGATTATTAATGATTGGGTGCAGGAGAGACCTTGGGGCACGGGAGGCACCTTCAGATGAGAACAGATGGGGAGGTCTCTGATAATGGGGTGAAATGAAGGGAAGAGACAGGGATGGGGTCAGGCAGTGTGAAGTAGTTACCGAAATCCACGCTGGGCAGAAGTATGATCTCAGGTTTCTTTGGCTGTCTGTGCTCCTGGGAGGCTGTGGAAGCAAAGGACCATGGTTTTGTACACTTCAGTCCTGTTGTCCCTTCCTGCATCTCGGAACGCCACACTTCAGTAGCCTCTTTCCATTTTCCCTTCTTCAGGCCATCCTTACCAAGCTTCCTCAGGAACCGAGTCATGGCCTCATCCTGTTTGGCACTTGTAATGACAGACTGGGGGTTGACTTCATCCAGAACTTGAAAAGAGAAGGGACCAAAGAGTCAAAGGAGCTCTACACATGGACAAAGAGGTAAGCGGCAGCTCTCTTCTTGCCACTGTTCCCCTAAAGAATTATTTTCTCAGCCAGGCATGGTGGTGCATGCCTCTCATTCTAGCACTAGGGAGACAGGCCAGTCTCTGAGTTGGAGGTCAGCGGGGCCTACATGGCAGGTTCCAGGACAGACAGAGCTGTCTCAAAAAACCAAAACCAAAATAAGAGAATTTATTTTCTGTCTGTTTGGGGAGTGCTCTGCACAGACTGGGAGCACAGTCTGGAATGAGATTTAGTAAAGTAGTAATATTGCAGGGGCGGGGGGAGGGGAAGAGGGGCGTTCTGGAAAATACCACTAGATTAAAGTCATGAGTGGTTTGCCAGGGACCAAATCTGCAGCGTTTAATATAGAGCAAGTAAGTACAATACAGTTGTGTTGGATAATTAATTCCCCGGAACAGGTGACTATAAAGTAGATTCAGTCACGTAAGGACGTATGCGTGACACAATTCCAAGCCCAGAGTCAGGAATCAAGGGTCGTGTCCCACCTCTCTGGAGAAGCTTCAGGCTCTGGTGGTCTGGGGCATCTGGCATGAAGTGGACAGTGGAGTCGCTAGTGTCATAGTAAGCAATGCCCAGATGTCCCGAACTCCACAGCACGCACAGGTGGATCTGCCCCATGAGGAAGGACACGAGATCAGTATCTGAACCCTCCTCCGAGACAGGCACCGGGCACCTAGTCAACCACCGAGACACAGGTTGGGCCCCGCCCTCCGCAGTCCTCCCGGCCCGCTCGCTCCTCCCTCCCACACCTCAGCCGGCTCCTCCTCCTCCTCGTCCTCGTCCTCCTCCTCAATAGTTCCAGGCCGGGGCACCGGGGCCTGTGGGCCGGGGAAGCCGGGTCCCCGCGGCGTCCTGCCCGGGGTGGCTCTGAAAGCCATGGGCTCGGCGACTCTGAGGACGTGGGAGGAGAAGCCACATTTCACCGGGTGGCTGGGCGGGGTGAAGCGCCCGTCGCGGCTCCCCGAGGGAGGCTTCTCCTTCGAGGGCGACTTCTTTAGGCTGCAAACAACCCCGTGCGACCGTCCCACCCTCATTTCTGTCACTTACCAAATCTGTTCCTGCCACCCACGCCCCGGCAGCCAC